TTTTGAATCTCAGAAATTAGAACAATTACACAGTGGTGACTGGTTTCACTAAATTCATGACCCAACAATCTCAAACGTGTACTCAATCTGTCAAATCCTCCTTTTCCACTCCCTCTGGTATGTTCAGTGTCTCAACTTTCCCAACCATAAGCAGTGCACTCTTTTTTTCTTTCCAAAACATTCCATTTTATAAACTTTCATTCCATTGCATAAAATTCTATTTTCCCTCTAATTTTCTGATGACTTTCCCTCATATTTCACTTAAAAACAGGCCAGTTGGAGAGTTCTCCCATCTTTGTTCAACCATTTCCATCCAGATCAGCCATGCCTTGTACAGTGGATAAAAGATAAATCTCTCACTAGCAGTACATTCCCAATCCCCTCTGGCCTTCAAATACATCTGTTTTATACTTATATTTTCATTAGAATCTTCCTTTTCTGGTGGAAAAATGTAACACCTTCCCTGACCCTCATTCTACTCCCACGGCAGAGTCTGCTAGCTACTAAATACTGAGCCATCCCTTTTCTCTCTAATGAAAGCAATCCCCAATTTTGGTGAACAACAGTTCAAAGAGGTTTGTAGCCTCCCTAATGGCTATGTATAACCTTGAGATCAATAAAGCTGAGGTGTGCAGGACTCTGCAAATCTACACTTTGAAAATAGACATGAGACCACTCTTTTCACAGTTAGCAGTTTGCTGAATCCAATTCTTTGCTTTTATCTTAGTTTCTCAGTAGCATTAGCCACAGATGATGCCTCACTCTTGAACATTCCTTAATGTCTAGTAATCTACCATATGCTCTTTTTGTTCTTACTTCCCTGGTTATGTCTTCTCAGATTCCCCATGTTGCTTTACCCTGTCCTCCTGTTTTAACAGTTGTTAATTCTCTAGCCCTTTACTCTTAACTCACACTTTCAGGTTTAATTCAGATTTATGGTTTTAATAACCACTTACGCCTGATGACACTTTGATTTCCAAAGGCATATACCTAAACCATTTGTTATCTCCCTCCCTTACTGACTTTTTTTCACATGTTAGGCAAGCAGTTTACCACTCAGCTACATCTCATAAGTCACTTAGATGTCCATAAGACATCTCAAAATTTGCTAGGCCAAAACAGAACTCCCCCTGACTAGTCCACTCCATCTCACATATACTTACTACCATTCACTCAGTTGCTCAACGCAGAACTTACAGAGTCACCTCTGACTCCTCTCTCTCAGCACCACTCACTTTCATAAGCAAGTCCTACTGGCTCTGCTTCCAAAATACACCCATTGCTTCTTTCCATCCTTTTTATCACCCTGGTACAAGCCAGCATCTCTCTCTCTACAGACCTCTACAATGACCACTATATCCCCTGGCTATGCTCCCTAAGTAGCAGTCAAAGTAATAGTTTCAAAGCACAGATTGATTGTATTTCTTGCTGCTTAAAAGTTTTCAATTGATTTCTACTCCCTCTTAGAATGAAATCTAAACTCCCCACACAGCCTACAAAGCCCTACACGAGTCACATAGCCTCCTCTCTGATTCCTCTCCAGCTACTCTGTTTCTGTGGTACTGGGGACTGAACCCAAGGACACTTTACCATGGAGCTACATCCCCAGCCTTATCCTTTTTATTTTGAGACAGGATCTTGCTGACTTGCCCAACTTGTGATCCTCTTGCCTTGGCCTCCTAAGTCACTAGAATTTTCAGCTGTATGCCACTAAGCCAGCCCTCTCCAGCCACTCTGGCCTCAGGTGCTGTACTTTGGACATACTGGCTTGGTTCTTCCTCTCACCCTTGCCCCTTGCTCCATTGTTCTGACTATCTCAGGCTCTGGACTGCTTTAGAATTTTTTAAAAAGCATTAAAAGGTCATTTACTCTTTTTTAAAATTGGTTATTTTTAGTTATATATGACAGTAGGATTCATTTTGATATAATTATATAAGCATGGAATGTATATTATTCCGATTAGGTCTCCATTCTTGTGGATGTACACAATGGTGGGATTCACTATGGCGTATTCATATAGTATACAGGGAAATTATTTAGATTCATTCCACTATCTTTCCTTTTCCTATTCCCCCTTCCTTCCCTTGATCCTACCATGGAGCTACAACCCCAGTTGTTACCTATTCCTCTCCTCTACCCACTTATTGAAAGTTAATTTCCATATATCAGTGAAAACATTCAACCTTTGGTTTTAAGGGGCTGGCTTATTCAATTTAGCATGATCCATCCATTTACTGGAAAGCGTCATAAAGTCACTCTTTAACAGTTGAGTAATACACTATTGTTTTTAATACTAGCCATTCCCTACATCTGCAATGTTCTTTCCCTATATCTTTTCTCTGCAAGCCCGTCCTTGTCCTTATTTAGGGACTACCTAAGTGAAGGCAGCTTCTGCCAGGTACTTGCTCTCACATCATTTTTACCTTATTATATTTTCTTCATAGGAAATTGGACTGTTCATTATTTTTTTATATCACCTGTTCCTACTTAATCCACTCTAAACGACATGAGAATAGGACCTTATAGATTTTACTTATTGCTAAATTGCAATGGTATGAAAGTTTTCTAGCAAGTATGAGGTGTTAAAAGAATTATTTGCTGAACAAATGGGGACAATATCAAAATTAAAAATCACTTAGTCTGAACCATTATTCCAGCATTTAAAACTCTGATTAACAGACCTGAGAAGCATCTGGCCACCTTTTCTGTTCACTTAGTAACAGTGCTTTCACTCTTCCTGAGGGAGGTGATCCCATCCCTTAACAACGTGTATTATATGAAAGCCCTTCTCAGTTGAGTCCTGGCTACCTGCGGCTTCTGAACAGGTGTGGAGGCCCATGTTCATGCAGAACACACAGCTTCCACACAGGACATTGCTTTGCTTATCAAGGATGGTGACTGTACTTTCTCCTGACTTAATGGTCCCGGTCTTCTTAACAGTTCTAAACGTGGGATAGTTGGAAGGGGGGGAGGGGGTCACAGTAAAACCATACACAGAGCTAGCAACCCGGCCATGAATGTTCAACTCTGGCCGAAGTTATCACTTCTGGCTAGATTAACTGAGCTCTTAGTGACTGTGGCCTGATTCCCTTATCTCCTTCCAGTTCCAGTTCACACACAGTCTCCAATCCCTGTACTTTCACACCACCTAGTGCTTATTACTTCTACAATCTGAGAACACTTGTAGTCACTCCTCATTATCTTCCTCAAATTCCTGACAACATTTAGTGTTGCCAGCAGAGGAGACATACCCTGTTTTTTTGGAAGGGGGCCTCTGGTCTCCTTTCTTCACAAATGTCTTGATTTTCCACATGTATAAATTAAAATTATGAACTTTCTTAATTTTCACACAGGTACCTAGATTCACTTGATGCAGATCAGCAACATTTCTAACCAGCAGGAGGAGTCACAAAAAGGAGTGGCTCCGTAGCCACCATCAGAACAGATCTGAGGCTGGAAGAGGAAGGCAGAATCAGTGATGGTGCCCTGGGAAAAACTGGAACAGTCCACAATGGACCCTTTCTACACTGCCTGTTCTGGACAGCATTATACTCAGGGATATTCACTTCCTTGTTCCTCTAAGAATAGCAAAGAAAAATCCCAATCAGAATAAGAGTTATTTTACATGGCTGTACACAGTGGCACTTTTGTAGAACCATCCATAATCTAATTACACCTTTTGCCTCCAAACCACTGGCATCTCATTTAAATCATTCAGGTAAAGTGTTAACTGTTAGGAGGTTAATGATTAGATAAAGTACAATGCAGTCATTTACAAACATTTATATTTCAGCAGTGTGTTAAAATTCTGATAATAAGAAGTAGTCTTAAGAATGTAGGCTGAAGAATAACATACTCTCAAAGAATTCTGGCAATGCCCTGATGGAACATCAATGATAGCAAGATGACTAGAATAATTCACAATGTATAATTTAGCTGTGATTTAGGAAAAAAATTAATAAATAAAATATTGAAGGCTCAAACTTGAATATTTCCTTTAATTTGTACATATACTCTGAGGAGTAATAATTTCTAATAAAACATCACAATCAGTCTCTGAGAAGTGTAGCAAGGGATAATTTGGGGGGAATCTTCTATAATATCTGTCTCAACAGATTAAAACTTCCATTGTACTATGGATTGAACAGGGTCTGTCCCTACCAAAATGCATGCTGAGGCTTGGTCCCCAAATTGTTGGGAGGTGCCTCTGAGAAGTGATTATGTTGCTAGGAGGAATTAATTATTTTCTCTCTTGGAACTAAAGCAAGACTGGCTTCCTCGACTTGCTCTCTTGCCATGTGATCCCTACTGCCATATGGATCTCACCAGAAGCTGAGCAGATGAAGATGTTATGATCTTAGAAGCACAAAACTGTGAGTTAAATAATTAATGTGTGGTAGGCACAGCAGCTCCAGGGGGTTGAGAACAAGAGGATTGCAAGTTCAAGGCCAGCCTCAGCCATTTAGTGAAGCCCTAAGTAACATAGTGAGATAGTGAGACACTGTTCAAGATACAAAAAAGATTTTAAAAAAAGGGCTAGGGATGTGGTTTAGTGGTCAAGCATTCCTAGATTCAATACCCAGTTCCAAAAAAAAAAAAAAATTTTTTTTGCTTAATAACCTACCACTCCCAGTATTTTGTTATAGCAACACAAAAAGGATTACTCTGCTATGGAACTGAGTCAGCAAATCTCAAATCTAATACAGAACCAATGGTTTTAGAACAAATACAAGTATCTCTCATCCTTTTAAGTCTTTATTTCATTAATGAAATAATGTATTATGTGACTGGCTCTGGCATTCTTCAGAAAAATGCAGTATCGTCTCTTCTATTATACTTAACTCTTATATTCATTCTAAAGAGTTCTATTACTTTAAACTCTGTCCTTAGAAGAATGCTCCACCTTCCAACAACTGCTGAAATTATCCTTTTAAGAACCGCCACTAAGTTCAGTTAAGAATTGAAAACAAATAGTGAAGTCAATTTGAAACTCAACTCACAACACTGTGTGATCTTCTGGATGTTGGAAGAGATTCGCTGAGCCAGCTGGGCAGGGTCTCCACCAATTCCTGGAGTGTAAGACATGGCTGATTTGTTGACTCACTAAATTCATCAGATGTTGGTTGGGTGTTCAGTTTTCTAAGCGGTCATCTAGAAAGACATAGTCACATAATTGTATTTTAAAAGTGATTTGTTTACATTTTCCAAGTCATCAATCTGGGAGATTACAGGGTTGAAATCTGGCAACAGGACACATCATTAGCAAAACTCTCATGCCTATCGAAAAAACAAACAAACAAAAAACAAGGCTGGACTTTTAGGGGAAAAGTTGTATTCAACATGCTTAACAATTAAAATAGGTTCTAACTGCACATTCTCTTTGAAAATTTCTTTGATCTAAGGAAGATCAGGTGTATTTTTTGTGTATAATTCCTCCTTAAAGAAACTGCAAGCAACTCTAAAGCAGGACCCACATGCTATTAATCTTTCTCCAACATTCAAAACAACTCTCAGCATGGATTAGACATGTAATTATTAACAGAAAACAAGACTTTGGGCTATTCCCAGAAACTTCATTGTATCTAATGTAACATACACAGGGGCAGCTCAGGGACACATAATTAATGGGTTTCTAATTTTCGTAGGAAAGATTAAATTTTGAAAGGGCAGAGACACAACTGAGAAGAGAAAAGATATCCTATAATTTTCTCATCATGTTCTTGACAGCAAGGAGAATAAATTCCTCTTCTCTTCCAGCAGCCAGCATCTCAAAATATGAGGCAAAGCAAGGGGTTGCTACAGAAGGAAAGGAAGATGAACTTCTTTCTTGTCTTCAATCCACACCATACCATTCTGGGTTTAGAAAGGAAGTTGCAAAGCGGTATTCACATAGCACAGCACTGTGAAAACAAAGAATTTCAACTACTACATCTATCTCCCCACTATGTTTGCATCAGAACACTGCAAAGTCATCAGATACTAGTAAGAGCGTGCTCCAAGTCTACCACTAAATGAAGCACTTAGCAGATACAAAACTCAAATCCAGCTTGTCAATTAGGAGAAAGGATAAAATTAATAAGGTAAACCAACAAAAAACAATGCAATTCAATAAAAAGTCATGTGCTCGGCAAAAGTGACAAAGGCCACAGAAAGGAAAACTTACTATTGCCCTTATTCCGAAAGCATCTATGAAAGAGAAACATGAGATCCTGAGACTTGGGTATTACTAGTATGGGTAACAAAGGTGAGAACATGAAGACCAGGCCTGATAGACCCACAACATGTGAAAAGGACTCAAGTATTTGCCAAAGAAGGGGAGGATCTTGTCCAGTCCTGGATCTGATGATTCATGGCTGGACAAAAGGGAGGCAGAAATGACAGGAAAAGAGAAGAACAACCTAACATCTACCACATATCTGAAATGAGAAGACTTTCACAGAGATTGTCTAATGATTGGTAAGCAACCTGTGGCTTATGAAGATTCACCAGTTGGTTCAAGGTAACAAAACCCTTCCACTCGTGGAAGGGGGGATTCAATCCAGGATTCATATTAAAAGTTACCAAACAGAACAAATGCCACAGAATAGGAAGGGCCCTGGATGCCAGGCTTGGTCAAAATACATTGCAATAAAAAGACCACTGGAGATTTTGAATAGGGGAGAAGAGGTTACAAAGATAGCCAAATTTTGAGGATGCTGAAGTCCCTCCTATGAAAAAAATTTATTTGCAATTACTCACATATACCTTCTCTTGGACTTTAAATCATCTCTAGATTACTTATAATGCCCAATGCAATGTAAATGCGCTGTAGATAGTTGCTATACTGCACTGTATAAGGAATAATGGGGTGGGGAAAAGGTCTGTAAATGTTCTATACAGATGTGATTCAAACAATATAACATTTACACACAGTTGGTTCAATCTACAAATGTGGAGCTCAGGGGTACAGAGGACACCGACTGCATATGCCTTTGTCTTCAGGGACAGCGCTGAACACTGAATAAGCTGGTAGAACAGCAGGAATCTGCCCAGTCCATGGCATGGCAGAACATGCCTGCATTTCTGTTGCACTGTGGAATGTGCGGGGCCACCTGAGGTTCTGGGGGCTTCTAGATGCTTTTTATTCTCCTTGTTTCACAGGTTCAATTTGTCTCTTCTGAACCAAGTCCTACATGTAGAACTGAAACCAATTTCATTAAAGGGCAAATTCAAATCTCAACTCAGACACCTGAGCCACTGCAGCAGGGTGAGAAGAATTAAACTTCCTTCCAGGACTTGTGCCTGTAGCCTCCTGAGGAGCTGGAGCCAATACAGAACAGACCAGATGTGAAGATTCAGTCAGACCAACATTACTCTGAGCATCCTACCAAATGGATCTCTTGATTCTGCATTTTTAAAAAATAAGAGCTTTATTAAGATATAATTCACACACAATTCACTCATTTAAAGTATACAACCTAATTTTTTTAAAATATGAAGTTGTATAACCATCACCATATTACTTTTCAAATATTTCCATTAATCTAAAAAGAAAGTTCACACCTACTAGTAGTTATTCTCATTTTACCCAACCTCCCCCACCAGTGGCAATTGCTAATTTATTTTCTGTCTTTTGCTTATACTGGAGATTTCATATAAATAGAATAGTACAATATGTGTTCCTTGTGACTGGATTGTTTCTCTCAATGTTTTCAAGGGCTAGTTATGCTGCAGAAATGTATCAATACTTCATTCCTTTTTCTGACAAATAATATTCTATTATATGGATAAAGAAAATTTTCTCTTGGCTCAATTACATCTTTATTCCTTGCCTTTTATCAACTAGATCTCTAGAAAAACTGGCTTATAGCTAACACAAATACATTGTGAATAAGAAAATGTTCTATTTGTTATTAATGTGTTCTTTTGGGGGAGTCCTCCACCCACTTTAACCATGGACAGAATGAGTATCACATCCACATCTCCAAGTCATACTCTTAACTTTGTCTTAGTTTAAAGTTTACATGTCTTTGAAACTAAGTGAACTCACCTATTGCCTGTACAGCTGCCAATGCAATTGGCAATGGGAAATCTTGACCTTGAGCAAGATACTTATCATCTGGGTCTTCTGCCAGGACCAAAATGAGATAATGCATGTCCAGGAACGAAATGCCCTTAAAGCCTACACAGAGGAAAGGTGTGATGTGCTTATGTATGTGCAGGGCCTGCCTCTAAACTCTTCAACCACACAGTCAACTGTGACCTACCTCTCTCCACAGACAGAGTATTATCAGAGTCCTGTTAATTCATGTACTGATTTGTAGTATTTTCCTCAACCCTCAAAACTCATGCACATCTAGCCTAAGTCTTCTCAGTGTTTCAAGAGTAGCTGTCTTCTTTCCAAAGAATCAATTAGACACAAGACAACCAGTTGTCATCATCCCAATTGAAATGCTAAATAAATTTGCAACTAAATTTTTAAAAGTTCCTGTTAGTGAGCAATCTGGGCTCATTTATCCAAAGAGCTGCTACTCTTCCATTGTCCAGAACTTCTTAGACAAAGAACACAGATGTGACCACCCCAGGTAAGTCTTGAGTGAAGAATAAAAAGCAATTTGCAAGAGGCCTATTTCTTACCCATTATGCTTTTAACATTTTCCATTAATTCCTACAGCAAGTCTCTGAAGGATATATAATTTTTGTGGTTTTTCACATGAAGAAACTGAAGCATAATGAGAGCAAGTAACTTGTTGAGGATAAACAAGAAAGCTAAAATTTGAACTAAATCTTAGAGCTCATTTTCTTAAAACAATAAACCTTTCTGTATAACAAAATTAAGGAAGTTGCACCCATTAAATTCGAATTAGCCAATTTACCACCTTTCTGTAGGCCCCATATGAACTTTTGCTATCTTCACTCCTAAAATTAGGACAACATAAGTTGATTGAGGTAACAATTGAACAACACATTCCTTTTCTACTAATAAGTGATACCTAAAAGGCTCCTCTGTTGAGATGTGAGATATGAGACAAGAGAAATAAAGAGACCAAATAACTAACTTTACTGTAAAAAAATACACACAAATGGATATAGAAATAACTATAAAAGTTTACAATCTTTGCATGTAGGCTAAATCAATGCTATTTTTCAAATGTTATCACTATCTCCAGTCCCAGTCCAAGATGCTATGCACTACAGCACTCTTTGAAAGCCAATTAAGAATTCCTAGTGTCAGTGGACTGCTAAAATGAAAATTAAGAGACAAATGCAAGTCATATCAGCCACCTTCCAAATGTTCAAAAATTTCATGTGGCTAGTGACCAGCAGCTTGGATAGCTCATTTATTCTTCATTTCCATTTCTGCAGAAAATTCTGCTGGACAGTGGTCAACTCATCATCTCAATAATTATCTTTCTATGAAGATATAAAAGCACTATAAAGAGAAAAAGGGGAAGGGAAGATCAAAGTACAACACTCATAAAGAGAGGTTTCTCGAGACTGCTTCTAAGGAACAATAATGAACAAAGGGAATTTTAATACAGAATCTTGAATGTCAAACACTATCCTCAGTTAGTACTGGACATATTGCAACATCCTTAAGATTTCTATTAAGCACAAGCTTCATGTTTTTTTTAAAATCTGGCCTAGGCAAAGAAGTGGTCAGTTTCACTTTGTCAATAACAGCACTGACATAAAATACTGTACTTTCCTCCACCTGTGCCCCCAAATGTGTGTGTGTGTGTGTGTGTTTGTAAGTAGATGTATTTTTGTTGTTGTTTTTTTTTTGTCTGTTTGTGGACTTGCTCTATTCTCAGCATTTAGCTACATAGTACATGCTGAATAAATGTTTGTAGAATGAATAAACAAATGTACTTACTTCCTCAAAGCACACACCCAGTCTGATGGTAAATAATATCATTTCTAAAACAATGAAATCAACTGCTTTCTTTTAGACCTGAATGATAAAGGTTTATTACAGCCCTGAACCTTTCTGACTGCCATTCTCTCTCTAGAAGACTCGAATCCCATGATCTCCATGTGACTGGCTCCTTTTCCCAGCAAGGTGGAATCACATGCTAGAGAGGCCTGATATGAAATAAGAAGTCACCACTCCTCACACTCTCCACCAATCTAACTTACTGCCTCAAAACACTCATTGCTATTTGAAATGATCCAATTAATACGTTGTTCATTATCTATTCTTACCTCTGGAATACAAACAGAGGAGAGATGGCCCATAGCCCAGTAAATAGTAGATGCTCAGTGAATATGAGGGTGCTCAGTCTCCAAACTGAGTATTCTCTACACAAACTATAGGAAGTGCATTCTTTAGCTCAGTTCTTTAATTATCATACTACAGTATTTGATTTTAGTTCACTGCACCAAGAATTTTTTTTCACTCTTTTACATATTAAAGTTTCAAGTCATATGGGACTACAGCCAATTTTATCCACATTTACTGCAGATCCTTATATAATTCATTTCTCAATCACCAGCACTCAGGTTAAGGGATCATAACAAAATTAGGATTGCCTGTGTTAATCAGGAGCAGCACAAATAAAATATCTAAAGAAAAATGAGGCAGACTTTAATGAGCTAATATAGTCACATTAATTTCTACAGAAATTTTGAACTACAGCCTAATTCTTAACTGGTCACAAGTCTGAGGCCAACTTCTCAAAGGTGCCTGCAGACCAAAGGCTCATTCACATCACAAGACACAATTTAACATTCATATCTATCTTTGCCAGATTTGGCACTGAGCACACATGAGCAAAAGAAACATCCACCTTCAACATTACCAAACAGCACAGCATTTCATGATTACTTCCTTTCCTTCAAATTCTGGCCAAGTTGTAAATCATAGTTATAATCAGAATACAAGGATCTGAAGTGATCAAAATGATACATATATTTACATACATGTATATATTTTCATATATGAATATATTTACATATATACATATTTACACACACATACATAAAATGTCTCCAAACAAATATAAGAAATTTGAGAGGAAATAAAAAATGACAGCATTTGACCAGAAGGGTATTCTTTTTGTTTCCTTTTTGTCTGAATTTAAGTAATCTTGAAAACAAGGTGGGAAGGTGGGAATCCTTGAAAGAATTTGTTTTAAAGATCTTTACCTATATTCCTATTAAAGACATGTACTGAGAAGGTAATAATAATAATTTAAAAAAAAAAAAAGTTAGCTTGTCAATCATCAAGCCAAACAAAACCAAACACGATGAGCCTCGGAAAAAATGCAAATAGCTCGTTTGCTACATAAGCGTTTCAGTTCCTCTATAACATAAGTGGCTTTTTTTTTTTTTTTTTTTTTTTTTTCAATTTGTGAGTTAAAAATGAGGAACAGGGCAACTGGTTGGATCTAGAAGGCCTCGGCAGTGCGACCAGGGTGTCGGCGGGAAGGTGACGGCTGGACCAACGAGGAAGGCGGGGCGGACCAGACTGGGGAAGCCTGTGGGGCTGGAGGAGCTGACCCGGTCAGTCGTGCTGACCCGCCCAGCCCGGCCCTGCTGAGCCCCACGGAGCGTGTGGGGAAAACGCAACGCGCCGCGCAGCCGCGCCGAGTGGGGGGCGTGGACAGCTGCTGGCGCTCCCAGGGCCCCCGCAGGGCGGCCCTTCGCCTCTCGGGAGCCTGCCGCAGGGCGGTGGCCACCAGGCAACGCTCACAAACGCGCGACAGCTGCAGGAACACTGCGAGCCCGGGACACCTAGCCCTGAATAACCTCTGCCCGCTCTCCAGGCTTACCCCGACCTCCTCCGCTTCCTCCTCCACCTGCGGCGACTGTCATCCGCCGGCCCCAGAGCCCCCAGCAGCAATTCTCAGCTGATGGGCGGTGGCGAGACGGCGCCCGGCGCGCAGGCTCGGAGTCCAGCCCAGGAAAGGAGGCGGGGCTCACTTCTCTCCCATTGGCCTGTGGGGCTGAGTGACAGCGGCCCTTCCCACCCCTTCTTTTCAAGCTAAGGAATGGAGGTACCAGCAAAATTCCAAGAGAGCTATTCTTTGAAGCCTGAAGTACAGATGATGAAGACCTGCGTGCAGAACCGAAGCGGAGGAAATGGAGGGCGGTGGCGTTCTTTTTTCGGTGAAGCTAACCCCTGGATTCGTGTCTTCACCCCGCCCCATCAGTTCATTCCTATCCTGTTTGCTAACCTTTAACTCTCAGTAGGCTGTATTCACAGCTCCATTTAAAAATGCGAACACAAATATGGAATCCTAGCAAGAACTACGAAGGAATAAATGAGGAGTCCCCTCCAAGTGCTCACTTGGTAGACAGATTTTCGTAGTGCATGCGAGTCATCCTAGTACATTTCAAGTCATCTTTGAAACGCAGGGTATAGTTTTCACGGAGTTTGAAAACGATCAGAAATGTTCCACTGATAATTATTCAAACATAATGTAATTGTTAATTGAAAAGCATCAGTTGCTTCAAGGAAACAAAATACTCCAACAAATCAATTAGAAGATGTATTGGCTTAGCCTTTGCCTATATTAAGGTAATATTTTCTGAAAGAACACCATGATATGTGATATCAAAAGTCCGGATGCACTTAGACAAAAAACAAAACCAGAATATTTTAGTACTACATGAGCAAATTATAGATTGTTTGCTTTTATGCATACACATATAATTAAATTAATAAGGTCAGGGTTACTCTCTGGCTCTTCTAAATTACTCTCTGGCTCTTGTAAATGCTCCTCTTCTAGAGAGAAGTAGGCATGTTGGTTATTCAGAGCTCATACACCCTTAAAGGCAGTGTGATTCAACTAAAAACATTGTGGATTTTTGTTTTTGTTTTAGTTTGTTTGGTTTTCTTTGTTTCCAGTGCTGGGGACCAAACCTAGGGCCTGATGGGTAAGTGCTGTATAGCGGAGCTATATCCCAGTCCCTGATGGGGACTTATAGAAATATTGGCCCAATACAGTTAAATTTACTGCTTTTTCAAGACATACAGGAAGTCAGATTTTTGTGTGAAGTTTCTTTTTTTACATTCTTGTATTTAAAAAAAAAATTCTGTGATTAGACACTATATATATTTGAACCTCTATAATAGGAATTAAAGGTGGAGAGTCCCTAATGGAAAATCTAGGTTTACTTCTTCATTTCACATATTAAAGAAACTGAAACCTCAAAGCACATCAAGGTCACACAGCACAGGTACAAATATGCTAATTCAGAATCTAGAGTATTTCCTTCCATATTATTCATTCAGGAAATTTTCAATAGGATCCTTCCATGTTCTAGGTTCTTTGCCATTGCACAGAGATTTCAAGACAAATAGGCTATAGTATTTTCCATCAAGGATCTCAAGGATGCTTTCCGAGGGCACTGTAATATGTGCTAATAGAGATTTGGATAAAGCACAGTAGAAACCTAGAGATGAGTATGCCTTACTTTGGGGCAGGGCCAATTTCAAAGAGGAAGTATGATAGGATTTTTAAACATGTATAAGATTTCACTTGAATACAAGATGGAAAAGGATATTTCAGGCAAAAAAAAACAATATGTAAAATGTTGTAATGCAATAGGCAAGTGTAAACTTTTAGGGATTCCTATGTAAATTATTTAAATAAAGCATAGTGTATGGATTAGAGACATGGAGACTGAAAAGGCAAATGGGGTTCTTAAAATGAAAAACCTCTATTCATGTTCAATGACTACCTTACAGAAGTCGAACTATTAAAGAATTTTAAGCAAAGGTACGAGGTACTCATAATTCTATGCCATGAAGAAAACTGTGGGAGGTTGGGAAAATTAAAGGGAAAAAACACTTGAGGATAAAGGCAGAAAGACCACCTAGGAAGTCTCTGAAATGATAGCATTTCTCAATTAAAAAAAAAAAAAGACATCAGAGATTTTGATGGACTGAACTAAGGTAAACACTGTAGTAGAAAAGGTGGAGATTGACTTGAGAAATCGTTAAGAAGACTTGGAAATCTACTAGATATGAGAATGAAAGAGATATTTCCTAATCTTATGACTTGTGGAACTGAGCTGAACATGATGTAGCTGGCTCTCTGAGATGTAAAGTTGCTAATACAGCAATTGTGTATGAGTATAGTAGTGATAAGGTGAGAGAACATAGTGAAAATAAACTTAGCTTTTGACATATTGCTAAGAAACCAGATATGTTAAATATCCATGTTAAATATCCATGTAATTGTCTTCCTGGCACTTGAAAATGTGAGCTGGAGTTCAGGATAGAGTCCTGCCTAGAGCTCTGGGAAGAAATGAGCTCACTAACTCAGTATGGAATGTCACAGACTATCTGTGTTTAAGAAATGGGCAGTGAAAGGAAAACCATGAATAGGAAGAATCAAACAAATACAAAACAAACCAGGAAAAGGTGAATTAGAGAAAGAAGAAAAACTTTTGAAGAGAATTAATGGTCTATAATGTCAGTTAACCAAAAAATAAAATAATTTAAGAACAAAGTTGTGCATTGGATGTGAGAATTAGAATATATTGGTGAACTCAGGAAGACTGTCTCAGGCATTCAACTAACTATCACAAAAGGAACTTACATCTATGTGAGCTCTAGCCCACTTTTAAACATCCATTCATGTTACCTTTGCTGGAATGCTGGACTTCAGGAGGGGAAGGTACAATGCCTTATGGAAGACCCTGAGACTAGGTGTCTAATTCAGGTTGTCCAGCTAGTTACTGACTATACTAGGACCAAAGCTAGCAGTCCTAATCCCACTCCTGGGCTTGTCCCAATTTATTATATTTTACAATATGTCATGAATGAATTCTTTCCTGGTCTTTTTAAAACTTAGGAATACGATTTCTCCCTTTTGTATCCACATGGAATAAAATAAGTATAGATAACTCTGCAAAATTTAGAAACACAGAGGATCAGTGAATTTCAAAAGCATTTCAAACATTTATAGTATTCCATTTTAGTATATTCCTGTCAGTGGAATAAAGAAAGATTTCTTGAGCCAAGTGGAGTTCAATAATTACCAGCAAGTGATTAAGTCTATTAGTTGTTAAATCAACAAGTGATAAATTCACCTATTGCAAAGCAAATCCTTTTACAATTGCAAAAGTGAATTATCTATGGTTAAAGCACTTCAGATTTAGTCATTTGGGGTTTATAGGCCTTCTTGGGAAGATTTTGAGGAGCAATCAAAAGTAAATCATTGAGTGTGAATTGTTATTAGAATATTTGTTTTCTTATTAAAAAAAAACTTTTGTTTTGGGGGGTAGGGGAGGAGGTACTGGGGCTTGAACTCAAGGAGACTCAACCACTGAGCCACATCCCCAGCCCTATTTTGTATTTTATTTAGAGACAGAGTCTCACTGAGTTGCTTAGTGCTTCGCTGTTGCTGAGACTGGCTTTGAACTCTGGATCCTCCTGTCTCAGCCTCCCCAGATGCTGGGATTACAGGCATGCATCACCACACCCTGCTAAGATAAAATTTTCGTATATAACTTCTGCCCTGTATGATGGCGAACTGCCTGCTGCAGTATCACCTGTGTCTGGAATACCAATTCTAGGGAGCAGAAGGGAATAATTCCCTATTCATTTAATAGTCATTGAATTAGAAGAAGTCAAAGGAGAAGGGGGGAAGGGGAGGAGGAGGAGCAAACAGCAGAAGCAGCTTTTTTTCAGTGATGACTGTGTGATTTTGTGGGAAACTAGAGAAATAAGTGACACAAAAGAAGTAAATGAAGCAGGGAATTTGCTCATAAATTCTAGACAAGAACTAATTTTATTACAACTTAATTTTAAGAACCTTGCATGTCTCTGCAGTCTCTTGTTTTCCAAGACCACACAATGCCAAAACAAACAAACAAACAAACAAACAAAAAACCACTAAGCCTTAGGATAGATTTTGTTCTAACCTTTAACCATAGGGTAAGACATAGACATTCCGTAGAAATCCTATGTTGATAGCAGAGCAGTATTTTTGTGTCTTAGTCCATTTTCTGTAGCCATAATGATGTATGAGACTGAGTAATTTATAAAGAAGAGAAGTTTATTATGGCTTATGATTCTGGAGGTTGGGAAGACCAAGAGTGTGGCACCAGCCTCTTCTTGGCTTCTGGTCAGGGCCTCATTCTACCACACATGGCAAACACGCCTACTCTTCCTATAAAGCCACTAATGCCATCATGGGGCACCACCCTCATGGCCTCATCTATTCATCCTGAAGGCCTCACCTCCAAATATATTAGCATATAAATTGGAGGATTAGGTTTCTAACTCATAAATTAGGGGGACACATTCAAACCACAGCAGTTTGTTTCAAATTTTGCCTCCTAAATGCTGTTTATATGAGCTGTCTTTGTCCCACATTGTCTGTGTCCTGACCCACTGCCATAGCCATTGTGACTGGTACATCTAATTCTACTCTACTTCATCATCCTCAAAGTTGTTACTGAACTGCTTGAAGCATGAATGTGAAGCCAGCACTCCCTTTATACCATCCCCACAATTACACCATGACCTAAAATATATTGCTTAAAAATAAAAGAGCTTAGACAAATGGATAAATAAAATATGGTGTATATATTCAATGGGATATTACTCATAAGAATGAAAATTACGGCATTTGCCAGTAAATGGATGGAGTTGGAGAATATCATGCTAAGCGAAATAAGCCAATCCCAGAAAACCAAAGGCCAAATGTTTTCTCTAATATGCGGGTGCTAACTCACTATAAGGCAGAGGGCACTACAGAAGAATAGGGTTACCTTAGATCATGTCGAGGAAAGGGAAGGGAGGGAAGGGGAGGTGACGTGGGGATAAGAAGGATAGTTGAACAGAACAGACATTATTACTTTATGTATATATGTGACTGCATGATCATTATGATTCTACAATATGTTTGCTCAGAAAAATGAG